CGGTTATTGACTTTAATCTTCACATCTGCCCTAGCTGTCTTTGGTGCATTGATTAGAAAAGTAGCAATTAGAGGTGTGCGATATACATCGTCTACGATAATATCGTAATTGTTGTTTAAACAATATGCGATTTGACAGAGTATATCGCAAAAACACACCCAGAGACTGCAATTAGACTGCATTAAACAGTCTGTGAGAATGCATATAAATGCCACTTAAGATGCAGTTTCTGTGCCACCTCTGCATTGCAAACACAAATTTTGTTGATACTGATTTCATTTGATTGGTAGCCCTATAGTGTCTTACCATTTGAATTTATTGATTAAATTTAAGAATTTGACACAAAAGATGATGCATACATTTAATTAGGTTAGGAAAAAATTGGCCTTATAAAGGTAAAAATGCCATAAAAGGTAAAAATCAATTTAAACGTACTGAAAATGTTTTCTGTTATTGCTGCAAACGAAGAATATCTGAAGCTTTGTATATTACATGTATTATATACCTTTATTTGACCCTCTAACTCTAGCACTTTCTATTCTATTTTAATTCTACTTTATCTATATTTATCTTCTTTTTTTATAAAAAAAAAAAACACTAGCTTTCTATTTTTTCTATTCTATCTACTTGTTTTTCTTTGTGTGTGTATATGTGTGTGTGTGTAGAATATATATTATACACCTTGCTACGTGTACTGTGTTAGGCTAACTGAGACTTGTCATTTGCACTTATATATTGTTGCTCTTTTGTTAGTTTTGACTGCTTTTATTGTCCTCATTTGTAAGTCACTTTGGATAAAAGCGTCTGCTAAATGACTAAATGTAAATATTAATATATATGAAGAAGATTATAAAAGATTTGGGAGTCAGCTGTCCACAGCAGTCAACAAGATATAGTATTTTGCTGTATTCTGAAGCATGGAATGTTGATATATAGTTATAGTCATTAGGAACTCCAGCAAGTGCTAAATCTGTTTTGTACAGTATTTGCAATCCTCACACTGATTTGTTGAGCCATAAGGACATGGGCGGCTTTGCACCATGTTTGATGTATATTATCAAACACACACACAAAATGTGATTTTGTAAACATCAATAAAGTTATAATACCTCAGAGTATTTATTGCTAATGTTTTTGATACTGTTCATTGGTGTCATATTACAGTTTCTGATTAAGAGTAAGGCAACTGAATATCACTCACTGAGAGTAATCTGATGAAATATGTAACTGACATGGGTCTTGCTGATCATGGTGGTCTTTGAATTGGTGAAACCGACTAAAGGCATCTACTTTGATCCGCCAGGGACCTTTGTTTCGGCCAATTAAGCTGCTCCAAATACTTGATTGCCACGACCACCAGAAACCTTCTCTGCTGCTGGAATCTCCTCACTTGTGCATGTAAGTAGTCATTATTATTGGTTCATATTTCATATTTGCAGTTTCCAGTTCCCCCAAGAATGAACATTATCATTATTTACTCAGCCGCACGTTATTTAAAACAAGCCATAAGATTAAATTTTTTCAGTCGAGCATAAAAAAAAGAAATTCTGTAGCTTCGCTTTTCATACAATAACATTTCATAGCAAACATGGACTGTCCAGCTCCAAAATATTGTCATATTAAGTTTTATTTATAAAGTGCCTTTCTCAAACTCAAGGTCGCTGTATGAGGAGAAAATACATAAACACATAACTATAATATGTCTGTCACATTATAATAACCCAGTTGTGGACCAATTTTATGGTACTTTCATGGGCTTCTTGGTCCTTTTAAGAGCTTAACAGCATTTTTGGGTGAACATCTCTTGGGTAACTAGGCTAGCGCAGTCTGGTTTTATTCACTGTTTGGTTTTGCAAGGTCAGTTTTATTTAATGTCAAATCTCTTTCATTCACAGTGGAGTGGAGCACATCTGTGGAAGTTTCCAAGCTGCAGCCGGACCCCTTGTCAGAAAATGTGGCTGCTTTTTCATACCAGTCTAAACATACAGATCGTAAGTGTTTAAAAGGTCATCACCTCTTTTGGTTAGCAGTACATTTAGAAGTAAACCGTATTAGTTTCTTTCTTTAATGTATCTATCTTTCTTTAATGTAAAACTAGTTTTAATGTGTTTTCTGGTCTCTATACAGTGTTTGTTTTCAAACCTAACGAGCCGAGGCCTCTGTTCACCCATAAGAACGTGTGTTCAGAGAAGATGCATCGTGCCGTCTTTGTTCCTCGAGAAGAGCCGTTGAACAATTGTGACGAAAGTTCTCAGTGGCTCAACAGATCTCAACTGTACTTCCTCACCCAAAACATGGTATTTCAGTGATATTTGTAATCACAATGGCCTAAAAACACATAAATGCATAACCGTAGGACGGTCCATTTGTTTTTGTTTTTTTATGTTTGTTAGTTCCTACACCAATTGAAAACCTAGACTGATTTTAAAATAGTGTTTTTAACTCCTGAAAAAGACATGAACATTAATATAATTTTTATATTAAAAAATTATATAATTTAGGTTAAAGTTTTTTAGAAGATATTTGTAATTATAAAATTGTTATTGAATGTATAATAAATGATAAAATTTTATTTATTTTAAATAAGTGAAAAATTTAAGGGGGCCTGAATACTTTCCGTACCCACTGTAAATTAAATGATACATTTAATATGATAATAAAAAAAGGTGTATTTCATGAGCTAGATACGGATTACATTTCTTTGTAACAGCAATAATTGTAAACAACTGCATAGTCCTGGTGAGCTGTGGGTATCCTGTAAATATGTTCTAACGCTATAGTGTGCATACTGTGTTCAATCCTCAGGATTTATTGACCTTCAGCACAGCAACAGAAGAGGACAGAATGTTGTCTTCAAGTAAACGGGTACAGTTTTCTTTCTTACACCATCCTTATTCTCATTCATTTTGAAGACCCCTAAAGTAACTTCACTTGTGTGTCTTTGGTACAGCTTGTCATTGATGACAGCGTTGCTGTAACACCGTTTTACCTGCTGTTGGGCAAACACCGACAACAGCAGCAGAAACTCAACACACCGTCCCATCCAGCAGCTGACAAACCCCAACAGCCACAGGGCTCCGTTACCATCACAGAAGTAAGTCATTTCAAGTAGGCGGTCTATTCGTTATATATGTTTCAGAAGGATCATGCGACACTGAAGACTGGAGTAATGGCTGCTGAAAATTCCGCTTTGACATAAGTTATTTTAAATTGCAATAGTATTTCGCAATATTACTGTTTTTACTGTAAAAATATACTTGTGTGTGTGTATTTTTTTTTAAAGTATTTATCTTTTTGTAATGTCTTTTTTTTAGTTGTTACACACACCAGCTCATGTTCTACCTGCTGCGTCAGTCCTGTGCTCAATGTTTGTCAGTTCCCTCCTGATCTCCAACACTGGAGTCCGGCAAGACCCCCTCAGGTTCTTTGTTCACATGCACAATATATATTTCCTTTGAAAGTTAACCAGAGTTAACTTGCTTACTTCTCAGTTTCCCTTCCCTTTTTTTTCCCCCTGAGATGCTCTGTACTGCAAGCACATAAATGTTATATTTTTCCTTTTGCTTTTTCTGGCACTCTTACAGGGAAATGGAATCTTCCGAGCAGGAAATGAACAGTGAGAAAGAGGAAGAGCACTCTGAGGAGGAAATGGAGGCATGTGATAGTCAGCAGGAGCTCAGAGCTCAGGGTTCAGTGGATGAGGTGACACCGAAGCTTTCTAAAGCACAAGAGAGGGAATTGAAGAGGGTCAGAAAGACTGACTTTAGCTGGATGGCTGGCCTCATTGACTCCAAACCATGATGGAGCAATTTCACAGTCCTGTTTGTGTTTTTGTTTATTCTTACTTCAGATCCAGACATTTGTTTATTCGGACTGCAGCAGCCCATTAGTGGTTTAATAAGTGATTCCATTTGGAACAACAAGGACAGCAATGCTATTTTGTAACTCTGAATGTTAGTAAAATGTTCATCCTATTTGCATCAACAATAATTTATAAAGAACTTTTTGAACAATGTACTGTGACGTTGAATTTATTTCAGTATATTTGTGCATTTTAATGTTAACTTTTTCCAATTAAAGTATTTAAACACCCTTGAATCGGGATACATTTACTTAAGAGGCAAATTGAACATATGAAGTCTTGTTTTCTGAGAAACTGAAGAAAATAACTTCATGCTTAAAGCAAGATCAAATATCTGTCAATGGGGTATGTAAGCTTGTTTTCCTGTTGAATTAAGTAGATTTTTCTGAGACCTTTGGCAATTATTTAAACGCATATATTTAAATAAAATATTGCTTTGGCAATATTTTTTTTTTTTACAATGTCTCATAAAACAAGACGACTTATTTTGTTTCTCAAGTCGATGTATATAGATTGCACTGGAAAACTAGACAAAAATACTGAGGAATAACATCAGCTTTTTGCTGTGTGATCCAAAGGTACAGTAAAAGTTACTTGGTTTTAAAAAGTCTTAAATTTATCTTCATAATACTATATATATAGTTTTATTATTTCAACCAAATTTTGACATTTTATTCTCCAAAAACTTATTTGAAACCTTAAAAGTAGACACTTTACTTACATTTAATGTGCTTTCTATGGACATAAAATCACTTTTGAAAATTTCTTTTGATGTGGACATCTTAATGTCTTTGACCCATATATAGTTTTCTAGTGGTAACATCTCAGTTACTTTAATTCAGTTGTTATTCTCTTTCTGTGTACTAATGTAATCTACAGACATGGTAAACAATGTCACTGCCATGTAATCAGGTTGTTTTTTGTCTTTGCTTCTCATGCAAGCCAAGATGAACTCGGCTTTTAGTTGGTGCATTAACCAAAAAAGTCTGAAAGGGCCTTTTAGAGAAAATTACCAGCAAACCCTTCTGAGGAATGTGACCCTGTCCTATTGCCGCTGGATGTGTTCCAGCTCCTCCCGGTTCACAGTCGACCTCTTGAAATCATCCCTCTACTTATTTCAAATCACTCAAACATTGCATTTGGGTACAAATCTGTTTATTTCGGTTGAAGTGAGATGCGGTACAAGTCTTGAGTTGTATATTCCTTGTATATCTGGGTTTTAAGCACAATTTTTTTTGCAAGTGTTTCATTTTGTAATTGTGTCAAGGGCAAGATCTTCTGTGTGGTGTTACATAGGAGGACAAAACTGAATTCAAATAAAACTAGTCAACACGAGAATATAAAACTTTTTTTTTTACAGATGTAAATAAGGCTTCACATTCATAGAAAGACAGTATGCACTGAAGCAATTAAGTGTTTAAAAACTGACAGTATGTTCGTAAGGGCCTCATGAAACAATCCTGGCATGTTAAAAATGCTTGCCTAACAAGTGAAGTAAACCGGCAGTGACTTGGCACCTGTGTTTGTGACCAGCTGCACTTCAAACCAGCCAACCACACTGGACTCAATAATCCCTTCTCTGTTCTGTGCATATGGTGGATTCCCGCTGGTGTCCAACAGCAATATTACACAACTATTACAAAATACTTCATATATATGTCAAGCCAGCTGTGGTTGTCAAAAGGATGTTAGTACCTGAACGATTGTAGCTTTTGTGGCTCATAGGCAGGTCTTTAATGTTTACTTTGTGCTGTCTAGATTAGCATTTGATTTGAATGAAGGGAAAACAGGGGTGTCATCACTTACAGAGCAGTAAAAATCAAGAGGTTGGTTGAGTTATTAGCTAGTTCTAAAATCCAGATTTTGTTGTGATTTTGAAGCAGATATGAAATCTTGTTAAAAAAAAACAAAATCCTGTGTTAATGCAGGACTGCTACTATTTTGTGCAAATGTCTTAATACCTGAAGTGTCTTGTTGCGCTAATTATTTTGTAATGGAAAAAGTATAATCGTGTAAAGTGCTTGTGTAACAATCTTTGCAAAAAGAATTATGTGCTAAAATCACTTTCAAATCAAACAGGACAAAAACACATCTAGTGCTAAAAACTCTAGTTGCAATGGGTTGAGTGTATCAGGGCCTAAATCTCACACCAATAATATTCAGAATGTTTAATATAAGAAAACGGCTGCAATTCCCTCACTTCCACATGGTGAAAAAAATCCACTTTGGTTACATGTACAAACCGTATATGTCTGCATAGCTTTCCAGAAGAGTTATAATAACAATCTAGCACCACTGAAGCTGAGATGCAGAATACTGACTACATGTATATAAATATATAACCATTATATAAGCATTCCTGAATGAATAACTAGCACACTCCAAATAACTATCAAAGAGACTTTAACCATGGCTTGCAAAAAGCATTGAGGGACAAGCATTACAAAACTATACTATCTTAAAGTAGAGCACATTGTAAAACTTATATACCTAGTCTGAAGGTTAGCTATGACCATAAAGTCGAAAAACTAATAAAATACGTAAAAGTAGAATAAATATGCCCATTTTTGCTTTGGAGCTTTTACAAAAGTAATTAAAGCATGTATAACCCATAAGAACCATCCCAGACAGCAACATAGTGTTGGCCCAGATCGGGCGACTCCAGCGATGATGCCGGTTCTGATCAGGCCACACTTCTTTCTGATCCAGGTGAATGCCACCGTTCCACAGATTCCAGATATAGCTGAAGCTCCCATGAGGAGACTGAGCACGGAGCCGTTCAGGCCCTGAGTGTACGCATAGCCTGTGGTGATGCAGTCGAAGCCCAGAACGGTCATGTAGAGGAAAGACAGAGACATGCCAGCAAAGAAGATGGACTGGTTGTAGTAGGCCACCCAGCCATCCTTAAAGGTGCGGATGGGTTCTGTCATTTGGTAGCAGCAACTGGTGTTCTTCTTCACCTCAGCAGATTCATTCATCAGCTGGGAGCCTTCAACTGGACTTTCATTATTTCCAATCTCTGCAACAGTGAATTGGAAAACCACAAAAGTAAAATGAAAAGTTTTTGTTTAGTTTTTTAGCAAATGATTAGTGAAAAGGTGCTTAATCTTCAAAATTTGTCAAAAATGGAAGAAAAGAACTAATCCAGAATTGGAAATAACAGGCTAGTAACAGGGTTTCAGATTTACCCTGAACAAATGCTGGTTTATGGTTAGTAAAATTTTTTTTTAAAAATCTTTAAAAAACTTTAGTAACATGGTTAGATGGTTGAGCTTGACAAGTGCAGTGAACAGTAGAGTTTGAGTAACTTATTGATTAAATAGATTATTATCTTCCAGGGTGTCACAAATTTAAAGAATGTAAATTTTTTGTAATGGGAGAAAACTAGTAGGTAACAGGGTTGTGCACAAAGTGGGGCAGGTGAAAATTTGTATTTTAAGGCAGATCAATATTGCATACTTCTTATGTTGTCTTAATCTTATGTTAGATAATAGTCTAACATATTCAAATGTGCTCACAACAAAAATCACTTTTTACTGTCATACTAAAAAAAAAAAAAGTATTGGGACTCTATTTGTGGAAAGTGCCAGAAGAGTTTGGGTGGTATTACAAACCTTTTTGTACGTTGAGATGCTTCAGCTCTTGGTCATCAGCGTCCTTCTGTCCTGCCTTGAAGGCAAGTGCTGGAGTCTTCTGATAAACTTTCCGAAGCAGGAAGTACTCCAAGCACATGGAGAACACATTCCAACCCGAGATAAAACCACAGCCGATGAAATGGGAACCGAATGCCATGATCTGGCCCACAAGCATTGGAGCCAGAATGTTGGTTAACTGATCGATTATTCTTACAGTTGCGTTCATATCTAACAAAATAGAAATATAGAAAACAATAGGGAGTACAGTTATGGAAAAATAGGATATATTCTGTGATTATATATATATATATATAGAGAGAGAGAGAGAGAGAGAGAGAGATACAGTACAAGTGATTCTGTAAATTATGGAGTCTGCAAGATTTTTTCAATGTTTTTGAAAAGAGTCTCTTATGCTCACCAAAGCTGCATTTACTTCATAAAAATACAGTAAAAACAGTAATATTGTAAAATATTATTGCAATATAAAATAATTGTTTTCTATTGTAATATATTTTAAAATGTAATGTATTCCTGTGATGGTAAAGCTGAATTTTCATATTATGCTGGTTTGGTGCTCAGGAAACATTTCTTATTATTATCAATATTGAGAACAGTTGTGAGACTTAATTGAAAAAAAAAAATCATACTACCCTTATTACTTTTGAATGGTAATGGATATCCCTATATAATATACATATTGGCTATGTGCTAACTTTCATGGATTTCCTGCAGGTTAATGGGTTCACTGGGTACATTGAGAGTCATAAGGACTGACAGCTGATGCAAGCACTCTATACAGATAAGATGATTGATGGAGAAAGAGCTGTAATGTATTTTATGAGTTTCCTCGACTAGGTGAAATGAGTTTTATAGACAATACAGTGGTTGAAAAACGTATTTGGACACTTAAGCCACATTCAATTAAATAACAAAAAAATATATACAAATACAAAATTATACACAAAATTCAAAATGATTTTACTACAGTATGTTTGTTTTCAGATTTACAACAACAGATTCATTGGTCAAAATAAAGACAAAATGATTTGGACAATTTTCCGTTATCAAACTTTTAGTGGAACACGTCTGTTGTTAATGTGATGTGTTAACTCTGCTAGGAACTGACTTTATAAATATTGAAATATCATCAATAAACACTTAAAACCACCATGAGACTAGTTGGTTAAAATTAACTTGATATTTTGTTATGTAATGGGATGAAATTCATACATTTTAAGTTTTGTCCAAATACGTTTGGGGCCATTATAATGAAGGTTGAAGAAGGTGAAACATTCCGAATCCTGACCTGCCAATTTGCTCCGATCATCTCCAGCCACAACCACAACCCAGTCCCTCTGGATGGTGATGGACATAGCTGTGCTGGCCAAGTTAGCGATGTTAGCAATGGTGATGACCAAAATGTAGCATGATGTCTGCAATGACAACGAACATGTAATTAAAAAATATGTCACTGTGTCCAAAACAGTAGCAAATATTGTTATTTGTTGTTAGTCCACTGACATAAAAAGCATGACTTGATATTCAGGAACAGTCCAGAACAACAACAAAAAAACAAGCTTCATTTTGTCTGCTGTATGGATTCTCCACCTCAGTGACACCGGGACAAAAAGCAGGTTTTGTTTGTTATTGTATATGTTAAGTTAAAGCTTTCCAGCCCTATTGAGCAAGCAACATGCTTTCTGCTCACATGACATCCCTGGATTCTGCTGACAGCACGTCAACATTTTGTTATCAAGGTGTCATGTTTCAGTAGCAAGAACTTAAGTCCATGCAGAATAAAGAAGGGACCTCCTATATAGGTCAGAAATGATTTAGAAGCTTGACATAACTCTGAATATCCTGTTATAAGGAGATTGTTTGCCACTGCCAGCTATGAAGAAAAACCTTTTTTCAAACATTTTAAATAGCGAGGCACGTTTAGAGTGAAACTATTTGCATAAAACTGGAGCAAGAACAAAACTGGAGGCCACCAAGAACTGCAGCAAGAAGGTTCTGCTTTTGAAAAATGAAGACTTTCTTTATTAGTACATGAATCTAGATCAGTTCTGAGTGCTTTTGAAGAGCTATTTATTACACATTCAGCAAATACTGATGAATAGTGTCAGAGTTTTACTAGGAAGCAAACTGTCACATCTTTTTAAATACTCACAAGCAACCATCCACTGTACATGATAGTAAGCTGTTCTTTAAACTGGAAAACGGCCATCAGAAGGACACCACAGAGAATGACAGCACTGTTCTGGACAACCAAAGACGTCTGTGCCACTGAAATTGAGAAAGAAAAAGATTCAAATTGCATTTAGTAAAAAAAAAAAAAAATTGAATAATTGGCATAATGAGAAGTGATGCATGCTCTCAGTAATGTGTCATGTTGCACAATAATTCTGCATGCTCTGTTTTTTGGAGCTTTGCCATGTTTACCTTTCAGTCTGGGGTTTTTGTCCACCCAGTCACCAATAATAGCGCCCAGTAAGAGGACAGACCCCGCAACCACCAGTCCATACACAGCTGTCAGGAGTAAACTATTGCCATACAGCTCCACCAAAAACACAGCCACAGCAAAATTCCACATCCGATCCCCCTGTAACATTGTAACCTTATAATGTAAAAGGGCTCCCTATAGTTTTAAGCATAAGCTGAGGTAGATTTTTATCACTAAGAAAATGTAAACTATAACTGAATGTATTTAAAGAAAGAGCAACTTGTTCAGTAAACCATTTAAAAAAAAAAAGTTTTCCCCCCTGCTGTACCGAAATCATACCGAACCATGACGTTAAAACAGAGGTACGTACCGAACTGTCATATTTGTGTACCGTTACACCCCTAATACACATATATATATATATATATATAGCGCACATAACATTCTGTGTATATAATGTAATGTATATATGTGTGTGTGTGTGTATATATATATATATATATATATAAAAGCACATTTATACATATGTTAACAGCGTTTAATATAGATATGTTTTGGAGTAAAGTTATTGTCATTTCTGATCTTCAAACTGTCACTGTGCTGTGATGATAAGAGATGTGCTAATATAATTTAGTAATATGGCCAAATAACTTTAGATATGGTTTTTGGTTATTACAACTTATAAGAATTTTACACAGAAAATAAATTAAGTTTTTATGAAAAAAGTCGAATTTCCCTGATTTTAAGACAAAAATTTAGGAATTCTGGAGATTTTAACCCTTCAGTGCTGCTAAAAATGTAGGAAAAAGTAATTAGAGACACAATAAAAAGAATTACATTTAATTTAATCTTATATTTAATCAATATATCTATTTGTATGTGTGTGTGTGTGTGTGTGTGTGTGTGTATGTGTGTATGTGTGTGTGTAAAAATCTAAAATACAAATACAAAATAAAAATAATATGAATAAAATGCAATAGCAAATATAATGACATGTATGCAACATATGCAAATAAATATATATAGGTCCCTGTTCTTCAAAGAAGAACGATCTGTCAAAAACAGATCCTAATGCAAAGAGACTCTTACCCATGTTGACAAGGCATGTCCTAGGTAAATGAGGAATTTCGCAGACTTGAAGAATTCGCAAAATCTTTCTGAAGAGACAGAAATGCAAGTGCAAGGTTATTTATTATTTTCGTCTTATACCTCACAGCATTCTACTGCAGACGAATTCGTAAAACACTTACCACAGCAAGGTTTTTTAGATGCAGTTCTGTCCATTGTGCGTTGAATATCGATTGTATTTGTTCGGTTGTATTTGTCAGGATTTTAGTTCCTTTGTATTGTTCAGGTTCAACAGGAAAAGTAAATCCTCGCTGCAAATATTTCCTGCGCAAAAACACGAATATTTCCCTTCTCTCCTCTCCAAACTTAGCTATCACTGTAGCTGAAGTTGGAGAGAAATAACCCCTTCTAGAACGACTAAATGTGTAAAAACATATAATTCCCGAAAGGGCTCGCGGACGCAGCCGAGCACCGTGTTTGCCACACAGCCCGTCAGGCAGACTGCTGATAATATAGCGATAATAGACTCCGCCCCTTTTGCGCTCAACAAAGACAGAACCAGAAAGAGTGTTTCTCGAGCTTGTTTAACAAGGTCAAAGTCGTGATTCTGATCCACTAAATGGATTTGCAAAATACAGCTAAAATAAAAAATATAAAGAGCTAATGTATAAAGTCCATACATCTTATTATAGGGGAGACGGGGCTAGTTGTCACAAACGCTTGTTTCTCCAGAAGTGCCTTCTACATGATTTCAAACACCTAGTTTAATCCCCTGTTAAATTATGTTTTTGTGAATTCCGTCCTTCAAAGTAAAATTTCATACTGCCACACTTGACATATGCTATAGCTGTTGGTTAAGTGAACAAACTGTAAGCACAATAGCATAGACTACATTAAGATAAGGGTCAACAATATAATAAAGTTATTGGGGCATGTTGTCACAAAATGTAAGCATGTTCAGTCTTTTCATGGGTAATGGAAGAAATGTTTAATTCATATTTAAGTAATTATTAATAGTAGCATTATTACTTTTTGTTTGATGTGTGACAACTCTCCAGACTCTCCTACATATATAATTTCACTACATAATACACTTTTTTGTGTCTTTTAAATGATACAGGCCTATATATCTTATTAGTTATCATTCAGTTGGTATACCATTAAAAACCCATATCAGTATCAACACTAGCATCAGATAATCTCTTTATGTGTCAGCATGACCCACTTTGATGGGTGTTCTGTTGGACTCAAGGACCTAAAAGGTGCACAGTACATCTCTGTCATTTGGAAATTTTGCAACATAGGCCTCGATGAACAGTAGAGTTGACATAAAATCAGTGTAAACATTTTATTAAATACCAAGCATCTAGTTCAGGGGTCTCCAAACTCGATCCTGGAGGGGCCGGTGTCCTGCAGAGTTTAGCTCCAACCCTGATTAAACACACCTGGACCAGCTAATCAATCTCTTACTAGGCATACTAGAAACTTCCAGGCATAAAATATAAATAGATAGATAGATAAATAGATAGATAGATAGATAGATAGTTTGATTTTATTTTCAACATTCACAATCAGCTCTGGAAGTTTTCTTTTTCCGCTGTACTGAGTTGCACTTTGGATCATTGACAGCTATTTCCCAACAGCTTGGCAGTGAATGGCTCTTCCCAATAGTATCCAGATTTATTCTATTCAGGCCAGTACTTAGTGTCAGTAATAACACACAGCAGTTTTGAGCACACAAACAAACATAATGTGAAATATCAGAAAAACACCCAAAAGCTACGGTTATTATAAAGTTATGTATGTCCAGGAATGTGTTTTTGCCTTCTGCTTTTGGTTTGAAGGAAAGTTGCTTTATTACACACTCACACTCACTTCTTCAACCCAATTATTGCCTAACCATGAGAGGCTCAAAAGAGTGCATTTCAGTCGTTTATAATTGATAGCCTGAGTGGATGTTTTTCATTTAACATCGGCTATGCAGAAGCTTGTAGCATGTTTTTTTTTATATCTGTTTGTATCTTCATATTTTTTTGACACGACAATGCATAAAAAGTGAAGTAATGCTTTGCTCGGTTTGGTTATTTTTAAGTAATAACATGATGCAATGATGTATCACATTTACAAACACATAACAAACAGAAAGGATTGTGTCGTTATACCTCTTTGTTATAGGGGTTCTCATATTTGTTTGCTGCAGAATTTGCATGACAAAGCAACATCTAATGGTTTTGGGCTTGATTAAAAAGTCTGACGATTAGGAAGCATCCGATTAATACAAAGCTCAAAGCTAAGTCATGCTTCACACAGAACCATCCTATCCACAGAAATTTGAGACATGGAACCAGATTACTCAGGTCACAGACTTGGTATTGTTCTCTATATCACTCTGTTGGTCTCATAACACGACAATGAGCTTTACACCTTGCTTGATTATATCCTTTACATCTACATTTAATCAAATTTGGTTTTCTTTTATCTGACAAATCGGTAGAGGAACATATTCCAACATATTTAGTAACCCTGGATATTGACAATTTTCTTCTGATAAGGATCCAAACTTTACACAGGTGTCTAGAATCAATACAGGAGTACGCAGAGTTCGCTTACTGCCATAACCATGACTGAACCCAAACAAACTAGTTTGTTTGTGATATTAGAGGTGGAAACACACAAGTAAACATTGTCCACATGATTTAACACTTAAGCCTTTCATGGGTGACCACACATTTCAACAGAACTGTACAACATGGGGGATAATGCACAATCAACAGGACCACAAACACAAACACTGTAATTCAGTAAATGCAGGTTTTCAGTGTCATGAATGAGGTTAGAAGTTTACGAAACAGGAGAGTGGGATCTAACTATTCAAAATAGGAATGATTACCAAAACCAATGGATTCTATGTTTAGAGCTACAGACAACAGATTAAAATGACTTCTAGGTGCTTGCTTTTAATATCTGAATAATTAAGTGCACGTCGAGTGTACACTTGAGATGACTCAAATCTTAAAATAGTTTTAAGTCTGCCAGTACGATGCGTCAGACCGTTTTTGATCAGACAATAGGTTTTTTTTTGTTTTTGTTCTTTGTATTGAACATTGACAGAGAATCATGAAGAATGAAAAAAGCTTGATCTGATTAAAAATCATAGGTAGTGTCAGCTAGAGGGGTATTTTTTAAGGTGACCAAATGTTCACGTTTTCCAGGGTACAAGACACCAAAAACTGGGACTGTCCCTAACTAAACAATTACACTTTCAACAATTATAATTTATATTAAAATTATAATTACAGATCCACTTCCAAAAGCACGACCATAAAATAATATTTGAAAAAAGATGTAATTATTGTATACAGTATATTCACGGTTTGTGAAAATGAAAATAGTTAGAAAATATTAATATTTGTTCAATACAATTTTATCTGATATTTATTTATTTATTTTAATTTTTGCAATGCATTTTTGTAAAGTCATATTTTTGTTATCGATCTGTTTGCGATTTGCAGTGGTTGCTATTTAATATTTTTCATAGTGTGATTTTTGATCAATTATATTAAAAAGTTGAATTAACAAAGCTGTATTAACGATTAATAATTATAATTATAACAGTATATGGAACCCACAACATTTAAAAAACAAAAACATACAAAAATATATTATCCCTGTTTTTTGAGGCATAGATAATCACAAGTGAGATTTCAGAGATATTTTAAATGCCTCCATTTGAGCAATCTGGTCACCTTAGTCTTTTAAAATACCTTTTACGTATTTGACAGGTCCTGGAAATATGTTGATTTAATCATCTTAATCAAAACTAAATCACAAACTGTCTTTTGTCTCAATATACATGTGATCATTTCAGGGATGCTCTCCAGTTACAGGGCAACAAAAACATTTGGATAAGTAAATGTCACATACACTGAGTTACGATATCATGTTAATTTTTTAATCCCCCTTCAAGTATGGTAGGATATCAGATAGGATAGTATAAGATAATATAGACATCAGCTGTTTTGGTAATGAAAAAATTCTAATAGTGGGTCACTGCCCTGGGTGTGAAATATTCTAAAATCTGCTTGAATGCATAATACTATATATTGACCTATATTGTTAATACATGTGTATAAATACATTTCAGGGATGTGTTACAAAACCCTTTGTCATCACAAGCGATGGTCTCATGGATTTTGGATTTAGGATTGTGGCATGTTGGCTATTTAGTGTTGTCGGAGAAAAAAAATCTAAAGGCTCCATTGTACACTAAATACTACTTGTATCCGATGGGATGCAACATTTTTACAGTAAGACAGTAAAATCTTGTCAGCTTAGACTGCTTTTGAAGGTTAAAATGCAAACAATGTGCTTTGACATGTTTTGAGCAAAACTCTCCAGTTACAGTGAAAAAAAATATTTGGATAAGTTTTGGATAAGATGTTGGATACAAGAGTTATGATATCATGTTAATTTTTTTAACCCCCCCCCCCCTTAAGTGTGGTAGGACATCAGAAAGGATAGGCCTAGTATCAGATAATAACAGCTCCATTTAGGAACCAGCTTTTACTTTGCAACAAAAATATTTGGATGTGGTACACTAAATTATTATATGAATTCATTTTTTGTCCACCTTCAAGTATGGTAGAGAATCAGATCGGATAGTATCAGATTATATCAGTTTCCGACAAATATCAGCTGTTTGGTGGTGAAACACTTTTTGTATGACCTATGTGAGCTGTGTTATTTTTGACAATACATCCTATTTTTCCAGACACATTACCAGTATTTAAACCATCCGTTTACTCAGTCTCTCCTACTCATTCATTCACATTTCTTTGTTAAAATGCTCGTCTCTTGTAGCTATCTTCAAGCCATTGTTGTCATAGAGTTCGATACCGTAACATAAGGCATTGCTTGCTGTGAGGGGGGAGGGGTTTCGTAATGATTTCGTAATAAACACTTACGTGACGTACTTTTAAAGCGTCGCTGTCTACTCTCTCGCATACGTCATTTGTGTTCGACGAACGAGCCACTTGCGTGTGGAAATGTTTCCTTGAATCATCCGAAGCGTTTTGATATAAAATGTCTTCTAAAAACAGCCAGCGAACGGAACCTGGAGCTCAAGAAGAACGTGCACAAAAAGAGGAGCTGGACATGAAGGTTTCCTATCAAAAATAATTTGTATAGCCTACATAATGTCATAATCATAACTTTATGTAAAATGGTCACAATTGCAGTACGTTTAGCACATTTAGTAGTAATTTATGCTTTTAATTAATGTTTACAAACCTTTACGATGTATTCACAGATAAAAGAGCAAAAGATTGTCGTTGACGAGTTGAGCAATTTGAAGAAAAACAGGGTATGTATGTCGTCTTGTTATATTAATTATTCTGTCATATGGGTCATTCTACATTTGAAGTAGCAGATGCTGTCATTCAATTATAGATGACAAAAACAAACTGCAGTTTTCACAGC